GCATCCCCATGTGTGTCAGAGTACAACTGTGATCCATAGGGTTTTCAGTAGCTGATTTTTTGGAAGTAGATCACTAAGCCTTTCTTCTGAGGCACCTCTGGGTGGACTCAAACCCCCAATCTTTTGGTTAGCGGCAGAGTCTGTTAACTGTTTGTACCACCCAGGGAATACAAGATGTGAATAATAGGAGAAACAGTGCAGAGGCGACAGGGGATATGTGGGAACTCTCTGTACTTTCTGAATGATTTTTCTGTAAACTTAAGACTACTCTAAAAAATAAAGTCTATTTAAAAAATAAAATAGAAAATAAGTTAATTTTTCAACTAATAGTAAGTGCCATAAAGACAGCAAAGCAGGGTGAGAGAGAAAGGGGGGCCCATTTAGACTGGGTGGTCAAGGAAGGCCCCTTTGAGGAGGTGACTTCTGAGTTGTGACCTGCACACTGAGTAAGAGGCAGCCATTGAAGATCAAGGGGGAGATCACTCTAGGCAGAGGGAACAGCAAGTGCAAAGGCCTGGGGGTATGATGAAATGAAAAACCAGTGAACAAGAGAGAGCAAGGTTCGAGATGAGTCTGAAAGGCAGGTAGGGGTCAGATCGTAGCGAGTCCTGGGAAAGAATGTGGATTTCATGCTAAGGACAGAGGGAGCCATTGGAATATTTTCAGTAATTGAGGGGTATGATCTCAGCGGTTAACAAGCCATTGTAGTGTTCACGTGAACACAAGGTGGCTTGGGTTTGGGCACACATGGAGAGAGGTGGTTGGATTCAGGATATAGGTGGGAGGTAGAGCTGACAGGACTGCTCACGTTTTGAATATGGGGATGGTGGAGGAACCCTTTCCCCTGAGCCCAGGTTTGTGTGACCTCAGAATCGTTCTCAATAGGGGACCCCAGATGTGGGGTGTACAGGCCATTCCCCATCCAGGCTAGACTTGAGTTCACAGATGGGGAGACTGAAGAGCCTTAGAGGTCACCTTGTTCAGCCCCCCACCCCAGGGGCTGTGAATTCTCCAAGGTCTCATTGAAGTTCAGTGGCTGAGCTAGGCCTCATGCCTGGGCTTCCTGCCCCTGGTCTAGGCCTCTTCCTCCGCCCCGCCCTGCTGCCTCTCCACGGAAGATGGAGGAGGAGGAGGGACCCTTGCCAGGGAATGACCAGGTATGAGGATGTGATGAGGTCACCCAGGAGAAGCATAGGAAAGGAGTGGAGTCGGGACAAGGCGCTGACAGGAAGCAGGGCACAGCCCTGGGAGCAGTCCGAGGTGGGTGGGGCATCATGGAAGGGCCTGGGGAGAAGGAGCCGAGGGCTGGCTGGGCGAGGAGAGGAGAATGCACCAGGTCAGCGCGTTCAGGCTGGCAGGCCTGGTGGGAACTCTCAGAGCCTATGTGGGCCACTCATTCTTGGGGGTCCTGAGAGAGATATGAGCAGCGCCTGAGAAGGAGAAGATGCTGGGGAAGCTTCCTGCTTGGGCCTCCTAGAGCCAAGACCAAGGGTGAAGACAGAGGGTAGGCAAGGCTAGTGGCTCACCTGGGCCCAACAGTGTCTACATCCCCCCACCCACCCTCCAGGAGTCCCTGGGTGGTACAAACAATTAAGCACTAGGCTGCTAACCAAAAGGTTGGTGGTTTGAACCTACCCAGAGGCACCTTGGAAGAAAGACCTGGCAATTTGCTTCTAAAACATCACAGCCATAAAAAAGTCTATGGAGCACAGATCTGAGGGAGGAGCGGAGCAGGCAGAAGGAACAGCCGTGGCAAAGACTCCGAGATGGCACCTGCAAGGGGACCAGAGAGGCGACGTGGCAGTGAGCCAAGTGTCCAAGAGTGCAAGTGAGGTGACCTGGATTTATCTCCCTGTTCCGCTCCTAAGAACAGTAATAGTGTCAGCAAGAGGCAGGCTGATAGGAAATGAGGTCTGAAGAGCTAAGGAGGTTGAGGACAGATTATGTAGGGCCTTGTCCACAGTCAAGACACAGGGGGCAGATACCTTGGGAAGTCCTGAAATCGTTCCCCCCACCCCCCGTTTCATCTGCAGCAGCATCGTCGCAGTCTGGCAGTTCCAGGGCTGTCCTTGAGATCCCCAGCCTGGTGCTCCAGGGTGTCATGTGGTCTGGAAGGGTCTGAAAATAGGAAAGAGGTAGAAAAGGTCAGACTGGAAAGGTGCTGGGACAGCTGCTGCCCCTGACCCAGTGCAGAGCAGCTGAGACCCAGGCCACAGGGCAGGGACTTCACTTGACATCTATCATCACAGGCCTGATTGCACCTTCTGGGTGAGTGGGGGGTGGGGGGCGGGGAGGCAGCCAGGGGCACTTTAACCAGCTGCACCTTTGGTTTAAAGTTGGGAGTTATGTCGCTGAGGGATCATTTTGAGAACTAAGTCAGAGAGAAGTCAGGCCCCTAACTGCCAGAACTCTTTGGCTGAGTCACCTCCCAGTGTCCCCTTAGAGCGTGGCTGCAAAGCTCTTTAGAAGGACCCACAGGCTGGTCTTCTGGGGGAGTAGGAAGACCTACTCCCACAATGCAGCAGCTAGGCAGATGACAATGGGGGGAGCACACCCCCAAGGGAGACAGTGAGTGGTAACAACCGACCACTGGAGAAAGGCCTGGGAGGTCCAAGGAGACCCCCGGGCGGGGCTCTTAAGACTAGGTGGCTAGGGAACAGGTCAGGATCTTCTGTGTGGGTGAGAGATGAGGGTGGTTACAAGTGCTGGAATGGAGAGGAGGGATGAGATGGGGAGGGGAAGCTGGGACAGTGTGCTAGATGCAAAGACATCATGGACCTAAAGGCAGTTGGCTGGGTTAGGAGGGGGCAGGGGAGCCAGACCGGGGTTCAAATCCCACAAGTGGTTAGGCAAGCATTGTTAGGAGCCTGTCTTCCCTTTGTAAACAGAGGGAAAGAATGCTGATTTAATCTCTTGTTGTTTGAGAGGATTAAATGAGATAAAGACCTCTCCCAGTGCCAGATGCTTAGTAAGGGTTGAAGAAACACCAGTCCCTTTCTGGAGAGGGAGGGCCCATATTTGGGAAGCAGGGCCCAGGTTGGAAGGTTAGGGCTGGTGAGACTGGAGGACACAGGGGTATACTCGCCCCTGCCCAGTAGTCCCAGGGTCCCCTACCCTCTGACCTCTGGCCTGGGCACCTGCATTCCCTCGGCTCACACAAAGAGGATGTGTGGCCGCAGGAGGGCTGGCATCTCTGGGCGCTGGAAGCAGAACTGGGGATTCGGGCAGGGAGATTGGGATGAAACTAGATGGAGAAGGGAAGGGCGTAGGTAGGGATGATCGGCCTCTAGGCCAGGGTCACACTCAGGGCCTGGCCTGCAGGGGCTGAAGGGGTCACACCAATGAGTAAAACAAGCCAATGAGAGGACACAAAAAGGTGACCCTTGGGCTCTGACCAAGGTGGGGAGGGGGTGGCTGCTACCCAGGCCAGCTGAGTGTGGCCAGGGCCAGCGGGGAAATGGGCCCACATCTCCCAATGCTTCAAGAGAAGGAGGAAATAAGGATCTTTAATACGAAATCTTCCAATTTTAAAGCATTGAGAATCAATTAACGAAACAAAAAACTGCCAGGCAGGCAGCTGCCTTGGCTAGGGAGTCCTGGGCAAGTTCCCATTGGCTGCTGCCATGTCCCCAGGGAGAAGGCTCCTCCTCACTCTCCTGATCTCAGAAATGGGCTCATGACAGACTCCTGGGACCAGTGGGAGAGCAGAGCAGTCTTGCTATGCTGTGTGGTCATGGACAAGCCCCTTCCCTTCTCTGGGCCATAGTTTCCTGCCCTGTGAAAGAAGTGGCTTGGCCAGCTGCTCTGTGGGGCTCCCACCAGCGTGGGCAGTGTGTGACTAAGCCCCTCAGGCTGGAGGGAAGATGCGGTCATGACGGATGTGACTCTTCCTGGAGCCGTGCTTACGGGGCTGGATGCCGTGTGTGTGTCCACGGTCACATTGTGTATGTGAATGGATGTGTGTCATAATTGGGAGCTTTGCATGGCACCGTGTGAATATCATCTTCCTAATAACCCTGCCCTGGAACCTTTCATCAGCTGGGCTGGAAGCTGGTAGAAAGCCTTAATTAAATTTGCCAGGCGACAAATTATGGGAGGGAGGGGTCGTTCTGCTTTGCAGAGGGGAAACGCAAGCCCAGAGCAGGGAGGTAACCTGGCTAAACGTGCACCCCTCGGGATCCCGACTCAAGTGTTGGCTCCGTGGCAGTGCCTCATTCAACTGGTGGATGGTGAGGCCCCAGCAAATGAGAACACGATTAAGTTGGAGGGTCTGCTCTGTACCCGTCACAGTTTGAGCCCTCAGGAGAGGAAGGGGAAAAGGGCTTTGCCCTTGATTTTTCCATGGGAGTGGGGGAGAGTGTAGCTAAGCCCAGGCCCCCTTCCCAGGCCTTTTTACATCCCTCCATCTCTTGCTGTCCTGTCAAATCAACCTGGCCTGCGTTCGCTGCCGCCCTCAGAACTCCCAGCTCTCTCTCTTAACATTCGCCTTTTGCAGTAACACGCATATTCACCAGCCTTCGCAGGGGCCCACTGCGTGGTTTGAGAGGAGAGAACCTGGCAGTGGGGAGAGAAGGCTTTGGGTCCTGAAAGCCCCAGCTTTTTGCGCGCCCTCCTCTTCCCCTCCCCCACATCCCGTTTTTGCCGCCTGTGCCCCAAACCGTATCAGGGCGTCAGTGTCCCTGTGAGGCCGCGTCCCTGCGAGGTGCTCCCCGGGAAGCAAGGTGTCCTGGCGGCGGCGGCGCCGGAGCCGAGGGCGCGGGCCCTTTAAGCGCGCCGGGGCGGTGGCGGGTCGGGGATGACATCAGCGGGCGGGCCCGGGGCTCAATGGGAGCGGTGGGCGCGCGCCAACGGG